GCACCAGTCAGCCCCGGCTTGTGGGCCGAGGCCATTTCTTGTGCGTGCCACCAGATGAACTGTACTGCCACTACCGGCAACCCTGGACACGAATCACCGCACGAGCTGTTCCACGGTACGCCGCCGCCGGTCGGGTCTACACACCCGTTCCTCAAACCTCTCGTGTTCAAATCGAGAAGAAAGGCAAAGTCGCAACCCAAGGGCGCGAAAGGATGGTACCTTGGGCCTGCCCACAATCACCCCCGTTACTGCATCCGCTTGTTAACCGAAGCTGGTACCGTGGTCACGTCCCGAAATTTCACCTGGCGTCACGTGCCCGCCGCTTCGCCCGCTTCCCCGCAGCTGCTGCCTCTCGCAGACGACGAGGAGGGCGGGGAGGACGAGAGCAAGCAGAGCACGTCCCGTCAAGGTGCGGGGGGGGGAAAAGACTCGGAGAGTGAGTCTGATTCCGACCTCGACGTGACGGAGGCTGGGCGAGCGACGCTGCCGGTGCAAGAGAAGGCGCCGGCGGCACCCGGCAACGGGACCGGGGACGCTGGTTCGGGCGTCCCCCTGTCGCCTCCTTCGGGAGGAGGCGACTTCGATGGAAGCAGCAGCGGCAGCAGCACTAGCAGCGACCGCAGCAGCAGCAGCAGGAGCAGCAGCAGCAGCAGCAGCAGCAACAGCGACAGCAGCAGCAGCAACGCCGCCGGCGACGACGACGGCGGCGGCGCCAGCGGCAGTGAGCCCGGCGCCTCTGGAGATGGCGGTGGCGGCGGCAGCGAACCCGGCGAAGACTCCGAGCAACTCGAGGAGTACAAGTTTGATCCCGCCGACAGCCGCTACCCGCCGGGCCGCGAAGGGCGTCGGCTCCTCTGGGGCGCCTCGAAGGAAGGACCGCTGCGCCACGGGCTCGAGCGCGGCCGCACACGAAGGGAGACCCGGGAGCTGCAAGGCCCCGAGGAGCCGCCGGGTCCAGACGCCGAGCCAGACGCCGAGCAAGCGCTGCTGGCGGAGATCATCGTGGACTACGTTTCCAACTCGCTGGTGCGGGAGCGGTACGACGAGGAGCAGGTCAACATCGAGTACCGGCGTGAGATGCATGAGCTGCCGTACGGCACCGAGCTGCAGGAGGAGGCGTTCGGTGCAGAGGCAGGGGACGACGGGTCATCGCAACCTCTTCATTACCCGCAGTTACGTATCCCCTCGCCCTTCGACCAGAAGCCAAGTGATGTAGAGTGCGTGCCCTTGACGTACAAGGATGTCCTTAACTCCAAGGACAAGGTGCTGTGGGAAGCAGCCATAGCAAAGGAGTTCGACGGCCACAAGAAGACGGGGACGTTCTCCGAGATTAGCGGTCTGCCCGAGGGGCGTAAGGCCATCAGTGCGAAGTGGAATTTCTCGCACACGACCAATGGGAAGGGGCTGATTGTCGACTTCAAAGCACGTATGGTTGCGCGTGGTTTTTCTCAGATTCCCGGTGTTGATTTTCACCACTCATCATCCGCATGCCCTTCCGCGGTGTCCATCAAAACTATGGTGGCCGTATCCACCGAGAATGGTAGGAGGCCTGTCCACTGGGACATCAAGCAGGCGTACACACACGCCAAGCTGAAGGAAGAAATCTACCTGAGGCTTCCAGAC